GAGAGATCCAGGAGGTTCCCGGGTATGGTTGCCACACATCTCTCAGGGACTCAATCATGGACACTTTACCTGGGGACAGCCTCCTGAAAATGGGGACTGTCCCCGGCAATTGGGGACACCTGGTCACCCTGATCAATGACCTGGAACAAGGAAGTGAATATCAAGTGTGGGACCTAAACAACTTTTACAAACCTGAAGTGAATTTCTGAGATTAATAAGTTAACTTTACATGTGGGGTTGACAATCTTGGTTTACTTCAATTCCAAATAAATGTTACAGTTACATAAAGTGACAGCGTAACTTTTGTTTGTTTTTGTGTTATGTTTTTTTTCCGAACACTAGAGGACAGCAAAGTCTCCAATATGCAAAGAAATGACATGCTTTATATATAGTAATTCACTGGACTAGCGGTTGCCTTTAAAATCAGCTGTGCCATAAAGCCTGCGCATTGTAGAAATACAGGACTGAGGACACATTATGATTAGGAGGGGTGACTTTAAATTCTTGCCCTGGCATTACAGGGGCTTTTTGTTCCCTTAGTTCCCTATCAAAGACTGTTCCAAAGATCTCAGTAACATGTTCCACACACATACGACGGGGCCACAATACCTCCTAGACCTGATCTAGAATACTTATCTTTATTTTCCTTAGCTCAAAATTATTCAAATATATAATGAAATATAAATGCATTTTAAACAAGATACCCAACTCAGAGACAAAACCACATTATTACAGGTATTTATATAGCGCTGACAATTTACGCAGCACTGTACATAGTTGCACATTCAGAGACAAAACCACATTATTACAGGTATTTCTATAGCACCGACAATTTACGCAGCACGTTGCACATTCACATGAGTCCCTACCCTCAAGGAGCTTACAATCTAAGGTCTCACATGCATACATAGAGGGCCAACTTGGAGAGGAGCAGACTAACCTACCAGCATGTCTTTGAATTGTGGGAGGAAACCAGAGTACCTGGAGCAAACCAACACAAGCACAGTGAGAACATGCAAACTCCTTGCAAATAGTGACCTGGCTGGGATTTGAACCGGGAATCCCCAGTGCTGCAAGGCAGAAGCGCTAACCACTATGCTGCCCCGTAAAAACCCATACCTCATTATTTGTAATGTACATGGGTGCTGCAGCTTGTACTTCTTTAAAATTAAAGCTAAACTCCAGGCATACAGCTAAATACGCAAATGAAATACAACAAAACACAAAGCAGGCGCCACCTCCTAGTGCAGCATGTTTATTGACTAACACATTTTGGGGTAACCAACTTCTTCCTCAGAGCAAGACCACTATACAGCATTCTTGGATCATCGGACCCTGTTATTGATATGCTTGGTTTCCTTTAGGAATAGTGAGTAGAACCGTTTTACTCTTATGTCATCATTTAGTCAATAAACATACTGCACTAGGAGGTGGCGCCTGCTCTGTGTTTTGTTGCATGTCGTCCAGATTCCAGTGACTACCTGGTTGAGAGGGCAGCCCCGTGGTTCCTAGCATTGGCGGAGTGAGCACCAGTCCCATTGGTTTGTGCCAACCTGAATCTTGCCTATTCACAAATGAAATACATAAATAAGAGCTCTTTAACCTTTCAAACCAATTCTATTTCACTCCATCCATTTCTGCAGTTTATATAACTTTACCAAACAGCACAGCCCTGCCTTGTAGGGCAGAAGACTTTAGTTTTTTTCTGCTGCTGTTAATTAACACTTAAAGGTCTTGTTTTCTTCTGAACTGTGACTGAACAATGAAAGGTGAAGCATCTCTGTCTCTCTGCTCTCAGCAGGCCCCTTGTACTATAGGAATCCTGCCTGAATTTTGGTACTTACACTGTTTGTGTCTTTTATATCAGTCTGGAATTCAGTTTTAAAGCATAAGACATAACTGGATACATTTCCTTCAGTGCTACAATGATTTACACGAAATATTTTGGTAAAAAACAAATGCTTTTTATTATACACAATTTTAGAAGGGTTGGATTTATATATTTGCCAACAGATGATCAATACAGAGCTAGTGCTCTGCCACCCGCAGCATGTACGGGCAGGCGGGGTGAAGAGGCTGTCAGTAGTCGTAGCAGAGTCCTGGATGGGAAGGGGGTTTAACACCGCGGATGTCAACTGGTTAAATCGTTAATTGTGACCGTTAAACAGGTAAAAAAGCTGGTGAGATCCCATAAAATGTTCAAAATATAGAAAAGCACAGAGAGAAAACACCATGGGGGGAATTTAACAAAACTGGAGCCTGTGTGCTGTGCTGCGTTTCTGGTGTGTACCTCCAGACATATCTGCTTGCTAGGTGTATGTACAGTAGATGTTTATTTATACTTAACTGATGATTAGGCAATGGAAACATATTCTAATGCCATGTATATAATCTAAATCTCCTGGATATAACTGTTTACATCAATCCATAGGTATGTGTATATTACTTATCTATGTTTGGATATCATGTCTAGAGTCATAATATTACTGCAATGTTAAATATTTTAAATGTGAATTCCAGCTCTTATGTTCTTTACAGGAAAAAAGCAGAATAGATTTAATAAAAGATATGGGGTTCATTTATAAAAGTTATAAAAGCTACCGTTATATGCCAGGTGGATGCCGTTCGGAGGGCACTAGTACCCCTAGTTAGTGCTAACAATTATAGGAATTACTATACTTGTCAGCGCTATGTAGGGGTGCTGATGCCGTGCTAATGGCATCCACCTGGTGTATAGCTTTTATAAAGGAACCCCTACGTAATTGGAATTGGGAGAATCATTACTGGTTTTGTCCCACCGTACATCAGGCCCAGTCAAAATGCTGATAGATATTTGCTTTCTGAGGGTTCCAGGCAAGTTTTTAGGATTATCCATGTACCTCTGCTCCCCTAGCTGCTGTCCAGGTTTTTGGAATACAGGTGGGAAGCAGGTCTCTAACTCTAAGTTATGGTCTCCAGCTCAAGATGGTTGCTCACCAGCATGCTTGACAAACACTAATGCCTGAGTCGTCCAGGAAGTATACTAAAAAGAATGTGCTTTACAGTTTCTTCCTCGAAATGACTGTGTGGATGAGGTCTAACTGACTGAAATCAATAGATGCTTCCATAGTTATTAACCAGCCATAAGAAGACTGCCACTGCGTATGCTTAGCTATTGTGTAGATAGCACCATACTCAAGACAAGGATTGGGAAAAAAGAAGATATTTTGGATCCTTCTAGATGTGTATTCTGCTTTTCACAATAGGGTGTCTGGAATTGCATGTAGGCAGTGCTTGCTTAAACATGGGTACCGGCCATACCTCCCTGATGGCAGTGTCCTATCAAAGTTTGTGACTACATTACAATGTGTAACCAGTGACGTGGTCACACATTTCAATGTAATCCCGCCCAGTTTTTTGGCGGTGAAATGTGTGACCGCCAATAGGTCATGCATTCCAAAGCTTTCTCAGCTGTTCCAGGGCAGATCAGCATCGCAATTCGTATGTGCAGGAGAACTGATCTGCCCTGGAACAGCTGTTTGGCCCTGAAATGTCACTTCTATTGGCCGGGAGAAGAGGTGAGTCACAGGACCAGTGCCCAGGACCGGTGCCCAGGACCGGACCTCACTGGGCCCCTCCACAGCCTCAGGCCCCGAGGCCCCAGCGGTAGTTCCGCCCCTGGACAGGGAGCTGAAGCAAAGGGATGAAAGAGCCACATGCGGCTTCGGAGCCACGGGTTGCTGACCCCTGGTCTAGGACCTTCTCTAACTGATTGACCACCCTCATTATTATCCCTGGTATGCTGTATATATTTTCCTATCTGTATTGTTGCTATATTTTAATTTATGGGTAAGGCATATTGTAGATTTATTAACTGCTCTATATCAACTTGGTATACATACAGGTATGTTTTAGTGATATACCCATTGTAATATACATGGGCACTATTTATTGCCAATATAGTGTATTTGTGGGCATTCTCATTTCATTATGTTCCTCAATTATCAGAATTAAGCACAACTGGCGTACAGAGATAATACTTTTCTGGAAGACAGTAAAGAGATATAAAAATGATAAGACTGTATTCTTAACCAGAGCTATATCGTATCTAATGATGTATTCTGCAGCCGTTGTTGTACTTGTGATAAAAGGATCAGTTATTTTGAAGATAACTAACATTGAAGAAAAAAGAAAAAATGGCGTAAACACCGGTTCTCAAATAACAGAATATTTAAAAAACTTCAGACACAAATAAAAAAAATCCGTCATAATCATATTTACAACTATGTGCAACCCCAATTCCCAAAAAGTTGGGACGCTGTGTAAAATCTACATAAAAACAGAATGCAATGATTTGCACATCTCATGAACTCATATTTTATTCACAAGAGAAAAAAGAAAACATAGCAAATGTTTACATTGAGAAATTGTACCATTTCAAGAAAAAGTAATTTTAACATTATTATTATGACGGCAGCAACATGTCTCACAAAAGTTGGGAAAGGGCAACAAAAAGCTGGCAAAGTAAGTGGTACTAACAAGGAAGAGTTGGAAAAACATTTTGTAGTTTATTAGGTTCATTGGCAACAGGTCAGTAATATGATTGGGTATAAAAAGAGTATCTTAGAGAGTGTCTCAGAAGTAATGATAGGCAGAGGTTTACCAATCTGTGAAAAGCTTCATCTAAAAATTGTTGAACAATTTCAGAATAATGTTCCTCAACATAAAATTGTAGTTGGTGCAAAGCCCCATAACTTCTGCACCAGATTCTCCATAGAATAGACAAATGGGTTATGGTGAGGTGGACTGAAAGAGAGTACCCCTTCACTAAACTAGCATGAAACAGAGCTGGCTTAGTGGAGGCATTTTTTTCTTAAATAATTCCATCACAAATACAAAATGAATGGGGCTGTTTCCTCAGTATACTGGGCAGAGTCATGCCAGTCATTCCTTGATGCCCATGGATTAGAAATTCTGGATGTAAAGTTAGAGGCAATAAGGAATAATTGGCTTGACCCAACCCACTTCTCATCCACCAGCGACTCAGGAGAGACCGATGACACCACCTTCCACCTTTCAGGTTCCTGTGGTACTACACCACACCAACACCACATAACTCATGTTGACAACATTTTCTCTCTTGACTGGGATAAGCCATATAGGCAGTTCCTCAAATTAGTATTAAACTGATTCTGCAAGAAACTAAAACGTTTAAACATCAAGGAGCAGCATCAATTGTAAGTGATTTACACAGCATTTGAAATAGCTTAAAAACCTTCTGGCTTTAATATCTGTCAGAATACACAATTATTGTATCTATTGCAATAACTCCTGCAGTATACAATTTTGGTCACTAGATGGCAGTGTTTATAAGTTGTGTTATATATCTATGGTAGATACTCTGTTGTATTGAATAAGGTAGAGAATAAAGCTGTGGCTTCCTTCCTGTTTCCAAGCCATGTGAAGCATGCATATCTGACTGTGTGCTTGTGTTTCTCTGTGAGGCTGTGCAAGAAGTTCCAACAATATCATTGTAAGTAAGCATTATTATGGCTGTGCATTAGTGATTCTTAGGAGTAGGGAATCTGAAAAAGCAGTAGGCTAGTGGCCAGTGGACTAAAGTGAATGTTTGCCACACCTAGAGCCCTGGAAGGTACTCCTACTTCGAGACCTCTACTTGTCCAATTTTTTTCATAGATAAACATTTTTCCCCCAATAGGCTTGTACTTTTAGAAGTCCCCACACTAGAGGAAAGATGACTGCACTTTCTACCATTCATATTTTACAAAGTGCACTGAAGTATCTAAGTACATCTAAGTACAGTATCCAATATCATTCGACGATTATTTCAGAGATCTGAATCTAGTTGATGGATGGTTTTAGAGTTTAGTTTCTTCCAAGTTGCACAGATTGAAATCAGGAGCATACTGCCCTGTACCAGCTCTGAACATTGTGTGCTTACACATACAAAATTTTAAACGGTGTCTGCAGTCCATAAACCCTTGTTAGGATCATGTTTTAAGGGGAGTCAGAACCTGCTGGCAGGTAAACATTAACTGAAGGAATACATGTGACAGATTGAAGTAAGCTTTGAAATGCATACTAAGAGTCGCTGAAACCGGGGGATTCCGGCACTGTGCATTCAGTTGGAGGCTGATCTCACAATGCAAAACAGGTCACCACTCAAGGTTTTCTGTACACCCCACAGTGCCAGGTGGTATGCAGTGGGGTTCCTCAGCTCTGATTTTTCCAAAAGTCAGAATTTGCTTACTGTAGGCCCTCAGATTTTGGTGGGTCCCCTGCAGTGACCAATTTTCCATTGTTCCAAACGACACCTGGCACTTTTGCCAATGATGTACCATACATTTTCTTCACACTTGTGATTTACAATACAATTTGCAAGTCTTTTTAATGCACCTCTGTGCAGAGGGAAATATTGCTTTGGGCAACAGTGTCTTTTTGAAAATTATGAATAGAAATGTGCAGATTGCACATATTTTGTAAGCACTTTTGTATGCACGTGTCTATTTTGTACCCACGTGCTGCCACAGCCACTATTGTTTTCTGTTATTTTTGTTGCACTACTGTATTTCATTGCTTATCATTACGTTGTGGTATGCTCCTAACAACTACTTGTAGATTAGTGCTACTACAGATTATTTTTGTATACATTGGGTATCTTCCATTCCACTTCTATCATGTTTAGTGTATAATGGAACAGTCTTCTAGTCTGACACTCCCAGCATCTCCTTCATCAGACTCAGAATGACACCACAATACGCCCACAACACCCTTTAAACATGCATATTCAAATATGCAAAGAAATTAATCTCCTACCCCTACAAACATCCTATTCTAATATTATCCCGCCTTAAAGATTTAAAACGATCTTACAGAATGCTGGCATGTGGATGAAAGAGCGCGGGGCCAGCATCTGGGTGCCCCCTTTATGAAAGGTGGCACCCAGATGCAGGTAAATCCCCCTGCCCGCAGACCCCCACAACCGATGCAGGTAAGTCCCCCTGCCCGCAGACCCCCACAACCACTGGGCCAGGGTTGTGGGGAAGAGGCCTTTCTCCTCATCGACATGGGCACAAGGTGTTTTGCCAGGGGGTACCCAACCGGCAAAGTACCCTCCCAATGTTGAGGGTATGTGGCCTGGTATGGTGCAGAAGGGGC